AAATCGTGCATGAGACTGATGCTCGAACACACGACACAAACACGCACATGGGCACGACAGATAACACCCATGAACACACTGTCCTGCTGCTGCGGGCGGCACATCTAGATGCAGAGAGGGTTGCTTCTCAACGCGCCGGCTGTCGGGCACACGGCTAATCTGACGGCCGCCGGATTAGCCGAACTGAAAGATGAAAAGGAGACCACCGAAGGGCCCCGAGCGCTGGAGGAACGGAGGCTATGAGGGGGGGGGGGGGTTAGGGAGCAGCGGAGGAGGAGGAAGTGCGTGAGTCACGACACTCCTGATGGCTTTGTCACAGTCCAAGTTTAACGGCAAATCTGGGGCAGCTGCAGGAGTGCAGACGCAGTGTTTGCATGTAGGAGACGTGGTGTTCATCTGTCGCCGCATCAGCGTGATGCCCGAGCCTGTATGTTTATGTGTCAAGTGTCACAGCTGGCAGTCTTTGGCCGTCAGTCTGTATTAATCCCATCTGACTTTTACCCTGCTGCGTCCAAGAAGAATAGAAACCCAGCCTTGTGGCGGTATATATTTATAGGAAAAGGGGCACTCGGGGGAGGGGGGAGATATTAGATTCTACACTTCTTTATGTAACTAGAACTATCACTGCTTGTGTGTGTGTGTGTGTGTGTGTGTGTACCTGTATGAAGCTGAACTCCCTCCAGTTGACGGTGTTGGCCACCGAGGGCAGCGAGGTGATAGCCAGCAAGGAGAGCAGTCCGAGGGCCATGATGCCCGCTGACAGGTACAGCTCCATCCTCCACACCTCCGCGTCCACCCAGACGTCGTCGCCCCCCTTCACCTGGACATCACACAGTAAAAAAACTGAATGCTCATTGTCTCCAGGGTGGGGGTATTTAGAGTACACATTATGTATGGAGCATCAGGGTTTGCATCTTCCCCTCACCTGTTGAGCAGCGATAAGCAGCTTGAAGCGGGCGGACTTCCTCATAGGGAGACACAGGCTGTAGATGGCATGCAGCGCCGCGCACCAGAAGCTGCACAGCCCCAGCTGCTTCCTGCTGTTCAGCCACCGGTCCAGCCAACTGGGGAAGCGGTTGTACTTGGTGCCCCACCACAGCTGGAGGAGAGCGGCACACAACCCGGGCAGGTAGACCAGCGACAGCATCACCAGGGCCACGGCGGGGAGGGTGACGTTGACGGTGTTGATGGGCATTTTGTAGAAGACGCTCTTACCCGCCGTGACGTAGGGCTGCAGGACGTCGCGGAGGAAGTTGTACACGTAGAAGAAGGCAAACAGGGACAGGGTGCAGAAGACGGGGACGCGCCAGGAGGGGAAGAGATAGAGGGGGAGGTTTTCAATCTCCAGGGAGGAGGAGAGGAGGCCCATATCGACGGGGACGAAGCCCATTCTGCGACAGAGCTGCATCACCGAGCTCTTGGCCTTGCTATTGTTGCTGCACAGGAAGATCTGGTGAGAGAAGATGATGTTGGGTTTTCTTTTTTTCTTTTCTTTTAAAAAAATCTGAACCACAAGGGACAGCTGATGTATCCTACCTGCCTGCTTCCATCCCGAGGTCCCATCTGGAGCGTCCAGGCCGATATGGTGTTGAACCCCTTGACTACAGAACTCTCCGGGAACAGCTCAGCCAGCTGCTCGGCGTTCGAAGGCCCGTCCCGGTTGATTCTTAAACCATTGCTGACATCCACCAGTGTCTTTCCGGCTAGCGTGGGCTTCAGTTCCACCAGCGTGGAGTGGTGCTCAGGGAACACCGCGACAAACACCAGGTCTGCCTGGCTGGCTGCCTCCATCTGGGACGTCACCTGGAGGAAGTACATAATCACAGGAGCATCATAGCATCATGTGATCAACTAAATTATTAGCAAAAGAATATATTATTGGCAAGTTCTGTACATTCTAACATTCATCCTCATTGGAACACTTAGTATACCTAGTATAGTATACTTTACAGTATGTATAGAATGATATAGTACAGTATGATATGATATAGTATAGTATGATATAGTATATTTCCCTCTGCTTCAGGCCTAATGCTAAGCGTCTCCTGGCTCTAGATTCACATTAGCACACAAACATGAGAGTTGTGTCAACTGACGGTGTGACGATATAAAGAGGAAACTTAAAAAAAACATGTCAGATTAACTGCTTTGTTCTCTACTACAATAGATGCGTATCTATTCAGGATAATAACAGTTATCATGCCTCATGGGTAAAGACAGAGTAAATATATAATCATCACCATAGGGAGAAAAACCAAAACACCAATTACGCGGCGAGTGTGAATGTGAGTGTCAGCGTTGTCACCTCGGCCTCTTCGGGGAACAGAGCCGCAGAGCGCTTGGGGTTGCGACTCCCCACCACCACGTGGTAGCCAGAGGCCACCAGCCTACTGGCCAGTGAGCGGGAGAAGTCGCCCGTGCCAAGAATGCCGACAACTGGGGCGCCGTGTTCAGACGTGGAGGCCTCAAGGTGCCGGGAGCCTCCTCCTTCACCTCTGCCTCGGATTAAAGGCCGCGCCATCTCATCAGGCATAATGCACTGGTGAATCTGCAGAGACAGGACATGGAGGTTTGTTCATATGCACCCATATTACCTCAACTGGTTCCTAAAATGCACAGTCAAGAAATAGAAAAGGGAATAAAAAGCAGAGTACTTTTAATAGGCCTTTAGGATATTCACTTGTTATTGTTAGGTCTAGACCTTAGAGGCTTCCTTTTGTAAGTAATAACATACTTAAAATAAAAGATATTACACATTCTGAGGACAGTAACTCTACAGTGAGTCTATCCAGCTGGCACAGGAAACTGGATGCCATAATATTAATACAATAACCACTAAGATTTATTCTGCCAGTCTTCCTGACGAACTCCAGTTTAAAACCAATACACCCTCAACGTGCGGTACTTACGTTAGCACTGGTAATAGTACAAATGTACTTTGTTTTATATCAGTGCAGCTTTTCTAAATCATCCGGTCATGAGCCGAATTCACCATAAGACTCTTCGGAAATAGTTTCAAGTATTGTTGCATGATTTATTAGAGCCGAGCGACAAAACACTTAATTGCAATAAATCCACACTGAAACGCGAGTTGACGCCACCTATCTTGTTTGTTGTCCTTGACTCAACTCGTGGAAACTTTGCTCCGAATAAAGTTCCTCTCCTCAACAAACAGGACGACGCAGGTAAACACACACGGACATTTGCATAAAAGCGATAGCTTACCTAACACAATTTAACTTCTGTTAGAACTTACAAGGCGATATTTGTAGCTACTTTCAGGGACTTTACTCACCCCGCTTCTTTTCTGTGAACGTTTCTTCCTGATAACGTGACGCGCAATCCAAAGCCCCGCCCCTCCACGGCCACGCCTCCACGTGTGTGCAGAAGATAAAAAATATAAAGAGAGAGAGAGAGAGAGAGAGAGAGAGCAGTGGGTTCCAGCTGTGTAAGTACAATAAATATGATCCAGGAGTGTATTGTACATTATATAACAGACTGTTTACATTACACCAACAACACAAAAACTTAATTTACAAGACATCAAAATAATCAAAACAGTGGTTATAAATTGCTTTACACCAAATAAAAATGTATAAAGAAATAAAGACAAATGTGTCCAATACTTTGGTTTGTAAACATATATTCTTAATTAACTTTCCGTACTTTGCGTTGAGTGATAATCCACTAAATTAAGATGTTAAATAAAATAAAAAAAGAATTAAAGTGTCATAATTTTTTGTTATTGTCTCATTAGGCACAGACTTTTAATAGCAGTTTCTCACTGGACTCCATCTGCTGCTGTCGGTGTGTTTGATAAACAGGCCGTGGGATTAGAATGAAAAAAAAAGCAAAAGTGTTTTAAAAAGATGTCCGGCCGTGGGCCATGCGCTGTCAACATGACTTCATCAAGTCTGCCTTTGCCACTTGCAAAAGGTTGAACCCCTCTGGCCCGCAGCACTGCATCAGTGTCACCACACACAAACACGCACACACACACACACACACACACACACACAGTGCCTGCATGCCACCCTCTCTTTCACTCTCTCTAGGCCATGGCCTCGTGTTTGTTTACAATGCTTAAAGGAGCTGTATTTCACATTCTGAACATTAGTATAGCAGCAAACAAATATTTGCTACGTAAAGATATATAGTTATGTCAAACCCGAGCAGAGAATGAAGTCACTCTCAGAGCGGTTGCCATTTTTGGGTGTACCGCTACGAAGCGTAGAGAGCTAAAGTAGCGTTAAATGAGTACAATTTAACAACTTAATGCTTTACCCACACAGCATGCAAAGCATAGACGAGCACATTGCTGTCGCGACCCGAGTGACATCTTTGTTCAGCTCACTGTCTGTAACCCGTGTAGCATTTAGATATCGTGGAATTAGCAAGACAGCTAGCTACCGGGTGGGCAGCTGGCTAGTTGGTTAGCTTGGTAATCCCGCCATGATTCACTGGTGGTAGAAAATGAGGGCAAGCTAGCTACCTATAACTTGCCAGATAAGTCTGCAACACTTTGCGGTGTGGTCGTCACCATAACAACTAACAACAATTGCCATTTTCTTCCGTGCTAGTCACAGTTAAATATCTGTTCTACTCCTATTTAATTTGTATGGTAAGCACTTTCACCGTAGTTTGCACCGTTAGCTGCTAGCCACCGGCTCGCCGCCACCATGTTGAGAGGCAACAGAAATGCTCCCAATCTGGGATGTTGCACCTTTAAGGTCACAGTCCTTGACATACGTATCTAATTTGGAGTTTTTTCATATTGATTACTGGCATCTCCCGGTGCGGTAACCCATTAATCTTACAAGTGAAATCAATTGAGGTTATTCTGATCCGGTGGGGACAGATTTACCACTCTCCCTGAGGCAAGCCTGGTGATCTGGGTCTGAAAATGTTAAGCTAACAAATAGTAGCAGTGGCACACAGCAGGGTCTCTTAACCTTTCCTTGATGCTGTTTTAAAGGTTCATAGACTATTATTACCCCGGCGATCACAAAGTCGGATGGGAAATATGTGAGAGAAGTGAAGGCACGGTCGTAGACGGTTAGCCTGAGGTGGACAGGTAGAGTCATGTTAACATCTGACAGGGCTTCAATGTCAAAGCGTTACATGGGGGAAGACATTTGTTTCTGTGCTTTCAAGGGCGGAGGTGTCTTCAGTGCTTCATCTGGGATTAGGGACACATGTTGAGACAGGAGCTGATGCTGCAGGTTCTCACCGCTGCATTGTTGTGGCTCGGTTAAAAGTTTCTCACGGCGAAGTAACACAGTATACGTTAATTCATCATGCAAAAACAATCATCGTGATTCAAGTGAATTCAGCACGGGAATGGCGGACTCCGCCACTACCAATAAAAACAACTACACAGAGAGAGATTATTACTGAATGGCTACATGAGAAAAAAAATGCCCCAAATCGTATAAAAACAGGGATTTGTTTAATTTTGAATGCTGGACTTTTACATGTAATATTGTATTTGATATTATTTTATTGTGGTATCACTACTTTTACTGAAGTAAAGGGTCTGAATACTCCATCCACCTGGTGTTGTCTGTAGTGTTTACCTGAATGGATACAGTTTAAAGTCCAAAGGCAGCTGATGATGGACTGAGTCACTTGTCTCACTTGTGACACAGCAGTCCGCTAACATGCGGCTTGGATTAGACGTATGGAAGCGCCGCGGGGTGGCTTGATCTCAGCAGCTGCAGCACACAGTGTGGACAGCGTGTGGTGCGGTGGCTCACCACGGCCTAAAGATACAGTTCACTGTACTAACCCCGAGTAAAGGTCACTCCTGCACTCGCATACTGCCGAATTCCGCGTGCCTATCTGCGCTCGTTTGTTTTTTCGCGGATGACCATCGCCGTCCGCTGTCGATGAAAACTCTAAATAAATTTCCAGCTTCGCCGGGGCTGTCCTCAGATTTGACCCCCCCCCCCCCCCCTGTGATTGTCACCTTCAGACATGATCAGCTCGGCTGGAGACATGTTCAGTGGAGTCAAAGCTGAGCTGAGCACGGGTTGAAAATTGCTTAGGGGGTAGGGGGTGATGGGGGCGGGGGGGGAGTTCTGCAGTGGGGCTTCAGCTAAGCCTTGTCTCCGGCCCCTGAAGATTTCCCAACATCGCCTTGAGCTCTAAAGCCTCTGCTATGGATGTGGGGCCTGTGCTCCAATTCCAGGTGCTTAGTTCCCAACCCGCACTTTTGGAGTATTTCAGGTCCTTCAAGTGGGTGGGGTGGGGGGGAAGGGGTGATTGAGCTCCAGGGACAAAATCAATAGATGCTTTTTATTTTCAATTAGCAAATGCTCTCTTCACTGAGTGTCTCAAAAGCTTGTGCTCTTTGGAAACAACCAATGACAGGCATCGCTGATAGTCTAATTATGTACCTCTGACAAGGAGGTTGTTTTCATCCGATTTTCACGACACTTGGTGGAAGGGTGTAGCATGGGTCAAGGAAGAGCCCATTTGGTTTCGGAGCGGATCCGAATCACGAGGCTGCCCCAACGCGTTATTTCATTTCACTCATGGAAACGGTCCCGATGGAGCTCTTCCTTCAGCTGATGTGCTCATGAACCGCCGCGGTTAGAACAAGTGCATGGTGGCCTCACTGGGGGGGAAAAAAAGAAAAGAGGCTAACGAGGTATTTAAAACACATCTGTATGCAATAGAGTAATGATTGCCTGTGCACAGGGGGAATATTAATTTTCCCGGAGAATCAAAATTCAAGGCCCGTGGCTCTCCACCTCGCGAAACAAGACATCAAAAAGAGTCCCCTGCAGCTGGGGAGCTCGGAGCTGAAGGTGTGGACAGCCGTCAGACATCTCCGCTCCGTTTCCTGTATATATTATCTGCTACCCCCTCTCTCTCTGTCTAAATGCGTGCATGTGTGAGTGTGTGAAGTGACCAATGCATTTGGTCATTTCACGTTGTCACCACATCAGTGAACCTGCCCTCAGCCATCGGCTCTGACTTTGAAAAGTCCCCTCGTGGTCTGAGTCAAATATTTGGATGTATATACTTGCTGCCATCACAAGTTTAAACTTGTCTTTAAGCTTTATTTCTTAGTTTTTATATATTAATGTTAAAAAAGAAAAATTGAAATATTTCAAGAATTTCTGTGTTGATTTGGGGGAGTCTATTATAGATGGAATATAATGGATTCCCCAAAAAGATTAAAAATATAAATACATTTTCAACACCGACTTATGATTATATGTGTGGAAGGGTTTGACATAAATCCAAATCCTTAATCTTGCAACTGAAGAATTTATGGATCTGTTTCCAAAAGGGGAATGGGTGAATAAATTATATGGTAATATTTGACCTCGAATGTATTCCACCTATAAGAAAACACAAACCAGCTCCATTGAGACTTATGAAAATAACTATGCAATTGTTTGGCATTTTAAGGCTATGTATATATGCATGGAGTGATACGTTCAAGTAGAGTATTATCGAGATGTTTTTTCCGCATGTAAATATGTGGGTGTTCTTCTGCTGAATACATAATTTGTGCAATCTTGAATAACAACTGCGCGGACTTAAACTTTACGCACCGGCTGTACCTCTTGTCAAGCCGGTCGAAACGAAACGGAGCACTTCCTGTTGCGCATTACAAAATAAAACATTTGTTAAAATTCTGTTTATAAGTCTAATAATCACGTCTCCTGATATTCATATTTGGAAGTTAGCCTGCAAAAGTCTACTAAAGTAAAACTGCAATAAACCACACTGGAAATACTCAAGTCAAATATCAAATGCAGAAATATTACTGATAGTGAATTATGCAGCATGGTCACTGTTAGAGCCTTGAATCATTATTAATGATACACGGTCGAGGTGCCACTCATTAAACCGCTTCATGCTGTTGGGCATCACAATGCATCATATTTTAATAAACTGATCATTTGTAAAAAAAAGTTAATCCTACAAAGGTCTGCCTGCTAATTATAGCTGTGGAGTACAAAGTACAACACCTCTCTCTGTATTGTAGTGGAGCAGAAATATAAAGCAAATGGCAATACTCAAGTAAGGTACAAGTACCTCTAAATGTGTACTTGAGTACTTGAGTAAATGTTGGCAGTGGCCTTCTGACATCTGACTGCAAATTATAAATATGACCAGACAATGTGCAGTCTCCCATCTTAATGAATGCTTATTAAAAATGAACTTCCGCTTTGGTTGTGATCCGCCTGGCTGACAGTGAACACCCTCCTGTCATTAAACAGCAGCAGACCTGTGTGTCTGCTTTAAATTACTCGGCTGATGTCTTGCTATTCTTTATTCATAAGCACCACCCGTCTCGGTGTTTTAATTTGAAGGCCACCTCCCCTTATCTTCCGGTCTTCTCCTCGCTAACTTTGACAGCTGGACCGCAGCTGGACCGCCCGCTGTCCGCGCGCACCTATCCATCCAGCCAGGACGCGCTCACCCGCTCCCCGGTCACAGCCGCTGCCCAAGGGGCTCGAAGCCGCCAATTAGACGAGCCGGGCCGAGGGACGCGCACTTCATCAACTTGGTCTCCATTTGTTTTTCGTCGTCCTAAAAAGCCCCCCCCCCCGTCCACCGTCACAATTCCCCCCCAGAGACGCTCCGCGGGGTTCCTGTCGTCCCTCCGTCCGCGAACCGCGCGGAGGAAGTGGTTGGTCTTCCTGGTGACCGCCGTCGCGATGGTTCTGCTGGCTCTGGCCGTAGCCGTCCCGCTGCTGCTGCTTCGCGCCCCCGAGACCTCCGCGCACTACTACGAGATGATGGGCACCTGTCGGATGGTCTGCGACCCGTACACCCCGAAACCGGGGGGCGCCACCGCCATGGAGGTGATCCAGAACGTGAACGGCGTCGCTCCGCTGCCACCCATGGCGCAAGGGACCCGCGGGGAGCCGGGGCGACCGGGCAAACTCGGCTCCAGGGGCCCAACGGGAGAGCCAGGACCCCCGGGTCCGAGGGGACCACCGGGGCAGCGCGGCGGCGGCCGACTCGCCTTCCCCGCGGTGTCCGGACCCGCCGGTCCCGAAAATGGCGAGGCGGACGGTGCGAACTCCTCCGCCAACGGTTTCCGGATCGCGTTCTATGTCGGCCTGAAGAACCCGCACGAGGGATACGAGGTGCTGAAGTTTGATGACGTGATCACAAACTTGGGGAACCACTACGACGCGAGCACCGGAAAGTTCACCTGCCATGTGTCCGGGATCTATTTCTTCACCTACCATGTGTTGATGCGGGGAGGGGACGGGACCAGCATGTGGGCCGACCTGTGTAAAAACGGGCAGGTGAGAGTGTCGATGACCAGGGGGGGGCGGCATGATGACGTATAGAAACCAGCAGAATGTAGTCAATTAATTTTTTTAAATAAAGACAACACAACATTCCAGAGTCATCACAATTTAACACTCAAAAAGCGCACGGCATCACACTAGGCTTGATCTTTTTATTCCCATTAACACCATTTATATAGCTGCATATTATTACTATTCATGAGTAATGGTTTCAGGGTAACATCCAGTGATATTTCTGGTCATATCCGAGCATGTATACACGCTCTGTTTGTGTGCGCAAACCCCCCTTTTTTGGATGAGGCAGATGTTTACAGCTGCAGCTGGATGAAGGGTCAGATGATCACATCATCACTGGGCATTAAAGATGCTGCAAGGGGGATTAAATGCAAACATGCATAAGCGTCTCAGTCAAATTAGATTTATTTGATGTGTTACTATCCTAGAGTAGCTATAGTGGTTTTAACCTCTAATTTACCCAGCATTCCCTTTGAGTGTCTATTTTTAAAAAGCTGCACCACTGCTGTTTTTCTTTGCCTCTCGGCCATACGTGAACTTTCTATTCTCTCGTCAACTCATGAAGTCTCGTCCCATTTGTCTCCCCCTCCTCTCCCCCAGGTACGGGCCAGCGCCATCGCCCAAGACGCCGACCAGAACTACGACTACGCCAGCAACAGCGCCGTGCTGCACCTGGACTCCGGGGACGAGATCTACGTCAAGCTGGACGGCGGCAAGGCGCACGGCGGGAACAACAACAAGTACAGCACCTTCTCCGGCTTCATCCTGTACCCCGACTAGACGACGACTCCATGCCGGACGGTACACATACAGCACCGAGAACTGTTCCCATCAAAAAGCCCAACATGTTTTGTCCTCGTTTTGAAGACACGTCCCACGACACACAGGCTTGTTATCTGCAACCGTTATGTTCTGTTCATCTGGCGAAAGAGACCTTTTTGTACATGTGTTTGATTTGACTGGAGTTCTCCTGCTCCACTGTCACCAGAGTATGTGTCTCACTACTGCAGACCTACAGTAACACCCCGAGCATGCCCCGAGCTGAGGAGGCATCATTCTTAAGTTCCTTTGACACATTTCCAAAATACTTTAGGGGGGGGGGGGGAGAGCTCAGCCCCAGAGCGGGCTGCTCACTGAGTGTATTAATGGCACCTAATATTTCAGGCTCGAGTGGCAACAGAAAGAAAGAGGGGGGGAAAGAAATCAAGAGATGAAATGAACGTCAGATCAGCGGTTTTGGACTCAAGGCCCGGTCACACCAGTATTTTAACATGAGGACATTTCATGGCGACTTAGTGTATTCTTTTGCGGTAAAATTACATGCTAATTTTTCAACTTTATTGAACTTCACACAGATTTGCACCACAGACCCGACGGTAAACGGAGAGTTGAAGTATCCAAAATGTGGGAAGCTTAGTAGCGTCCACTGTTTCACTAAAGAGACGTGTTTTGCAGTAGTTACGAGACAGGAGTCATTTAAATAAACAGTGAACTTGTCGTCCCGTTAGCGACTTAGCTAACGAGCTTGCTAGCTTGTAGCCAAGGCTCTTAAATCAATACCGGGACATCGTCTTTGACCCCAGGGGAGCTACAGAGTATGATACAAGCTACTGTGGCTGACTAGCACTAGCATGTTCTCAGCTGGCTAGCATATTAGCCGTTAGCTTGCCAGCTACAGTAGCTCACAACTTCTTCAAGCTTCTACAACCAAATACTTTGCACAGGTGTGCATCTTTCTGGTGCGACCAGGCCTTCAAATGGTTACTAAAATACTGACGCACGAATTACCGTCATTCTCCCGTGTTATTTATTTATTTGTTATCTTCCCAAAAATAAGTGCATCATCAGCATACATGGCAAAACGGGGGAGCAACAACTTAGACAGGAACACTGCGCAACCGGATGAGCCGGACCTGTTTTAGGAGATACAATGAGCCGAGATGGTCCGAAGAGGTCAGTAGAACACATTCTAAACGCATTAGACACACCGCGATAAATCTAGGCCTCCTCGATGGCCGCGGTGAGCAGAAATCGTGGCCCTTCGAGCCGTGTTCGGTGTTTCACTAAATAACCCAGTAACCACAACGTGAAAGATACAAATGGATGTCTTGCATCGATATCGAATCAAATAAATATTGTTTGACAAAAAGTTGGCTTTGTGTGAACATGTATGACCAAAAGAATCCAAGTGTTTCATGTTTGATTTAATGTCAGAGCCATATATATACAGTATATATATATATATATATATATAATGAATTCATCTGCAACTCTTTTGATAATGAATAATTATGCCACTTCTCTTTGTCATATTACAAAGTAAACAGGATATCTTTGTGTTTTGGGCTGTTGGTCGAACCAAAACCAGCAAATTAAATGTGTCACCTTGGGCTCTGAGATAATGTGAGGGGCATGATTTTGATATTTCTTCTACCAAATTTTAAATATATTAATCAAAAAAACAGCCAGCAGACTTATGGATAAGGAAAATAGTTACATGCAACCCTTGTGCTAAATTAGTACGAGGAGAGGAGCTGTGTCAGACTCCTTTATATATTTTTAACATGCATCTCTCAGCTATAACCAGTGCTTCTGGAACTCTAATACTCTTATTTTGAAGGACAGCTTAGTGGCAACAGAAAGCAGACTTTTAGCAAGAGGCTGTCTGGGTGAGTCCTCAGCAGGAGGAAACATAAATAACATGCGTCTCTTCAGATAGTCTCAGACATGAAAAGCCGGTGGCTGCTGGCTCCTTTGTTTCACTTCTGATTAACTTGTATTAAGATTTGCAAAATGCTTTACCCGACTCAAACATGGCTGTAAGCCTTCATTAAGATGATGGCTGTTTTGTGTGTGTGTTTGATTTTTTTTGATTTTTTTATCCCATCCCCCCTCAGGAACACACACACAAAACAGCTGTTTACACACCAGCTCTGTCAATTTAAATGTAAATCATGGAAAACAAATATTAGCATGCCTGGTTAGATAAACCTGTATTAAGGTGTTGGCTTATTTTGCTCTTCAAACTGGCTCCGTCCTCCTCAGAGGGGACTCTGTTCTTCTGGAGCAATCAAAAACAAAAAGAGGTGGATAGACGTCCCCACCGTTTGTTTAGTTTTTTGACAAAAATGGTACAGTTTATGTGCAGATGCGGTTTCTCTAATCTCTACAACGGAGGTGGTGAGTTCAGAGTGAGCATGAGACAAAGAGACGCATTTATGGGGAATACAGCAGCATGAAATATACTGGAATTTTTAGTAAATTTTTAGGTTTACTATGCAGGATTTCTTTGACTCAAAAAAACGCAAGTATAGCCGAGGCGAAACACCAGCGGACAAAGCTCGCTCCAAGACCTGACAGAATCTGGGCTGGCTTTCACGTTTGCTGCCTCGTGTGATGCTGCAGGTGACACTGGGCTGTGTTATGTCAGGGGATGTGCTCTTCTGGTGTCATTGAGCCGGGTGGGGGGGGGGGGGGGGGGCATAGAATGTTGTATAACAACTGGGCAAAGTCAGCGTGACGTTACCCCTTCGGTTTATAGACGGCCATTTGTGAAGCCTCGTCGCCATCTTGGTTTTTGTCCGTCGTTTTCTTGTTGTGCAACCAGAGGTGACACGAGAGGGTGGAGCTAAGTACAAGCAAACGCTGAATAAGATCATTTTACCAGATATGTTACAATTAACTTTCATTAAGTGAAAATACACTGTGAAAGGGTTAAAGTTGTGACACAAAAACATGTAGAACTCCCAGACCTATCAACGCCGTAGCAGTCATTTTTAGACTTCTATACAATCCTGCATAGTAGTACAGTAGAGACAAACAGAGCTACTTTAGCCGTAACAATGTGTATAACTCGTAGTTTTAGCCTATTAGCATTTGATTGCAACACTTGATAAGATGTCACAGCACGTTTTTTAACCGCAAAAATACAGCTGGCACATGACTTAGTTTTCAATCAAATGTAAGTCACATATGTAAACAAAGAGCAGCGTTTGCAAGAGCAAAAGATGGTCATAGTTGAAAGATGACCAAGACTAGACATTCTTTAAAGATCACTCTTTACACGTCACCATGCAGAGGCGTCTCAAAGTGTTTAAAGATCAAAGCATGATGGTCTTGTACAGGCTCTCAGCCTCCACTGCAGACACATTTAAGATGAAAAGTGGAGCTGCTGACACCAACTGAGACATCAACGGCAGTGCGTGTCACCCGGCTGCCAAATGGATGATCACGCACACACACGCACGCACATGCACACACACATATATATATAAAACACGATAGATGATCATCCATCGCCCCATGTCTGGTTGACAGTGAGGGATCGCTGACTGACAGACGGAGTAGTGAAATTCTTTGATGGATGAGATAAGTAGGACACACACACACACACACATTGTGTTCAGGGGAATGCATCTTGACAGGCAGCTGAGCAACAGGCATCACACTGGAGTAATGAAAGCATGTGTCGCCACGGGTTTTGTGTTGTACATGCCACTTTGGTTAAGTAGACTATGATTCTTTTTAATTGAAACCCTGTGACGAAAGAGTCTGATCTAATGAAGCCAAAACACACCAGCAGTTAAGAGCAGCCGGCCTCCGTTGATTTCAGGGCCTGATTGCCAATCGACGTGAAAAATTGCAGCCGAGCAGCCACCAATCATCGGGGACATTTTTAAAAAACCTCTCCTCATTCTGTCACCGCGCCGATTTCATCCCCGCCCTGATTGCTCCGCGAGTAACGCTCGTGCCTGAGATGCAAATGCCAAAAGTGTGCATGAGCAAAAAACATGAGAAAAACAAACAAAAAAAGCTATAAAAGAGGGACGTCTGAAGGGACCCGCGGAGAGGGTGAGAGCTGGGATCTGACACCTGAAAACCTCCCGCTTATCTTCCTCTTTTGTTTGTTGTGCGAGTCTTATCCAAGGTGGCGCGCTCGCAAACCACACGGCTGGGATCCTCACCGGAACATAAAAGAAAGGAGGGGAAGCTGGAGAGGCGGTGCATTAAAGATGCAGCCTGCGAGATGAAACTGTATTTGATAAACAATAACGAATACAGGTTTTTAGGGACTGTACGGAAATGAATAGGTGTGTCTTTCTTTTTGCTGTAGGCAGAGTTAGTAGATTGTCCATTATGTGCAATTTGGGGCGGATTGGAACACGTAAAGTCAAGTTACAAAGGGTTAGGGTTAGGGGACGCCGTTCCAAGAAAACCCAAAAGCTTCACTATTTAGCACAGTGAACGTCTTGAGATTCTGCTGACAGAATTTGAGGTGGATCCGTTACATCGTTGGATGTATCGACTATTCCTTCACAATTTAGCGCCACATTAGCTGAAAGGTCATACCAACCAAATTTCAAAGGGATCCGATAAAGCCTCAAAGAGGAAATGTTTGGATAAAATAGATGAAAAACGCACTAAATTCAAAATGGCCGACGCTGACAGAAGGCCACGATGAATATGTTTTCTTTCAATACTTTAAGTACATTTAGCTCACTAACTAACTTTATGGTACACTAGATGATGACAATATGTTTCGTAATATATTACACCAATATTATTCAATACATTCTAAAATAAATTGCTAAATCATTGCTATGCCAGTATGAGATAGCCATACAACATGAGGAATAAAATGAGTTGTCCTGAACATAAACAATACACAGCAAAAACAGAGACACTCATGTATATTTTGCTGCAGTGGAATAAATTCCCAGTATTACCCCGGATTCATGTGTCGGATAATGACTCAGCCAAATGCTGACTCACTTCATCTGTCAGTCTGCACTTCGAAAATTACATCTCTTTTGTGGTTAAATCGGCCAAACAAGGGGGAAGAATTGGGAAACGGAGAGAAGAGAGCGAAAGAGAAGGACCCAGTGAACAGTGAAGGGGATAAAAAAATAAAAAAAAGTCCTCTCATAGAAGTAAATAAAATAACAAAAAGAAGACAAATGACTCCTTGAGGGTTTAAACTCGGGGTTCAGCTTATTTGGCAAATCATACAATGTGGGTGCTTTTTCAAAGACGACAAGCTTCCAGGCTCATGAATATACCTTCTGTCAAA